CGCGGTCACCTGCTCCGAGAGGGATCGAACCTGCCTGATGGCGTCGATCGTCGACACCCCCTCCCGGAAGCCGTACTGACCGCGGGATAGGTTAGGACCATCCCGGGACAGGTGCCGGACGATGCGGTCAGCGATGATGCGCTTCAGCAGTTTTCCCGCATCGTCCAGCAGGCAAATAGGCCTATAGGCGGAGGGACTCTCCGCCGGCTTGTCCTCCTTGCGTAGGAGGACAAGCCTGGCCCTCTTCCACCTGAGAAATATACCTTCCCTGAGGCAGTTAGTGTAGAGCTGCCTCAGTCGATCTCCAACGATGGGAGCCGCGGCGAGCCACATCCTGCCGTGAACGCCGGAGGGTTCGGGCGCCCGCGGCCTCCCTCTCAGTCGGACGAATGCCCTCTCCATCTCCCCTCCCCCCCCCCGGTGACGCTCAGTTCATCCGTCCATCTGGACGGAGGGCCTGTCCTCTCTGGGATGTCCCTTTCCCTCGTGGGGAAGAGAGCGGTCACTACGTCCTCTAGAAACTGAGCGTCCAGGGTTTCCGTTATCGGGGGGGTCCACGGACGAAGCGTCTTTGTCACTATCTTGTAGGGCCTCCCCCACGGGTCCCTGTCCAGGGAGTAGAGGAGCTTCCGCCATGCGTCGGCCTTCGCTCTTCTTATGGCCGCCCTGAGGGCGCTCCTTGCGTCTCAGAGCGCCCCAGCGGTCGCTTCTATCTCTGCGTCTGTGCCCCGCCGCCTACGGCGAATATACGTTCGTCTGGCAGCCACGGTGGCCCGTCGCTCAGCTAACTCCTCGGACCACCAGTAGGCTGCCCTTTTCGCCGCGGGACGGCAGCGGGGCATCGACGCGTCGCACGCGCGCGACAGGCCGAATGGTGTCCCCAAGCCATTCGGCCTCCTCCTCCACCGTGCAGACCGGATTACGTTCCGGCCAGGTAGAGGAGGCTCACCTTGAGGCGTCCGGGGTCCATCTTTCGTAGGGCCCATCGACGTTCCGTCTCTTGTCGGCGGCATCTTTGTGACACCTCTGCAGGGGTGGACACCAACTCCATACGGATCAAGCGGTGATCCGTCAATTCTCCCAGGGAGCCGGCGTCCATGTGCCATCCTCGGATCTTGGCGGCCGCCGCGGGGGTCGCCCACGTCAGACCGATGATGGACTCCCCCCCAGGCCCGCACGAAGGTGCTGGCACGGCCTCTATTGAGTAGAACGAGACAGTGCCTCGCCGCCCACAGCAGGGTGCTGTCGCCTCTGGCGTCGGTGGATGGGGAGCCCCACTCCAACGCGTGGGCATTGAAGTCCCCACTCACCAGTATCGGCCTGGGGGAGCGTCGGTGTATATGCTCCTCCAGAGACTCCAGGGCGTCCTCGTATTCCCTCCTCGTTAGGCGAGGAGGGAAGTAGCACCCCGCTACGTCGATGGGTCCCCACTCTACCAGCGTGACCCCCTCCCCCGCCGATATGGGAATCATCGGCGGGGTGTCGCGCGCGTGCTGGCTGACCACCGCTACCCGGCCCAGTTGGAGTGACTCTCCGGGATTCGGTAGGGGTCTGCGGCGATGGCCAGCCCATCCCCCCACTCGGCGAGGCACTGCACAAGCATGCTTTGTGCCCCGGCCGAGTGGTTAAGGGTTCGTCTGGGCGAGGGCGAGGGACATTATTGTTGCGTCCGTCGTTCCTCGTCCCGCCCGACGTTTTTGTCGGTCACTTCACCGGCCGCCGCGGGTGTGTTCTCCACGACGGCCATCTCTATGTCGGCCACGGCCGACGGCGCTTCCGCCATGGTGGTCTGCCCCGCGGTGGTGGTGGGGGGGTTGCTGGGCTTCTATCCCCCCCTCTTCCCTTTTGCTTTGGCAGCAGCACATCCGCCGCCGCCGATGCAATGCCCCGAGGGGCGGCCGAGTTCACGGCACGCGGGGCAATCGACTTTGGCGCGGCACTTCCTCGCCGCGTGACCGATGCCTCCGCACCGGTAACAGCACCCGGAGCGATCCACGGTGCTTGTGCATTTGGCCTGGACATGGCCAGCTTCCAAGCACCGGAAGCATTGGAGGCTCCGGGCCGGCAGCAGAGCTACTCTGCTCGACCACCCCACTTTCACTCGAGAGGCGGCCACGAGCTGTTTGGCCGCCTCTACGGGACACCTGGCCCAGCATCTTCCGAGCCCATTGGGGGCCCTGGTAACGCCGCCCACCTTGAAGTCAAATAGGAGTCGACCTTGACCTTGTAAGGATGGAGCTGAGGGATGCGGACAGCTTCGTATAGGCTGTCCACAAATCCCTCACGATATCTCCTTTGATGTTCTTACTTGACGAGAGACGGGTGATTCCGCGACGGACCAAAGTCCGCGCGGCCCCGTCCTCCCCTACGGACAGAGTCCGCACCTCTCGAAGCGGGAGTCCCCGGTGCAATGATCCGAAGCTCTCGGAGACCCCATCCCCCTCAGTGGCATGAGCCAGCCCGCAGCCAGGAGCACCCAGCATACGGCCGACCCGCCTTGTGGGAGCACCCGCTCGACACGTTCCACACCCGGGACCCGAGGAAACCACCCCAACCCCAAAACGAGGAGAGGGGAGGGCCCCATGGGAACCCGGGTGCGGTGGAGGTCGAAGCCCATACCCGCACGGGCAGGAAATAGAAATTCCCTCTATCGGCGCCGTGCCACCGGGCGATTGAAGTCAGGGCCGCCAACCATTACCGGCACAATGGGGACCCGTCCCGAAGGGACGAGACCCCCAGGAGTCCCTCCCACGAGGAGAGGAGACCCCCTCTCCTGGGGTGCCGGACCCGGTGTACAGACTCTCCCCGTCAGGAAGGAGTCCGTACAGGCTGCTCTTAGACCCCCACATGCCGCAAGCGACCCGTGGGGGGAGCCCTCTCACCACGACAAGGTGGCAGCCCGCGAGAGGGAATGCAAGAGATCCGGAAGGCAATATTTTTCGCAATAAATTTATTACAGTTTTTTAAGACAATATTTTTCGCAATAAGTTTATTACAATTTTTTAAGATTTAATTTGGGAAATTTGGGGGGATTATTAATGTTTCAGATTGATTGCGTTGAAAATCCGACAACTATATCGGCACACAATTATAATTTCTGAAATTAATTCATTTAAATGAATATACATAATAGTTCAACATCTTAATTTAGATCGTAGTGGTGCTTCGTATTTAAAGTAATGTATCCAACATAAACAGTCTTATTTCCAATCTTTTAATCGTGATGGGTTCATCGAATTTATTGTATCAAGTTTGCAAATGTCTTGCACGGTTAGTGGATACTGGGCTAAATGATATGGATTAATCAACCAAGGTGGGGATTTTAAGCGTACGTCATTGACTAATTTATAATAACATATTTTTATTGGTTAGAAAGTGAAATGTTACTAAGCACCAACCAATATGAATAAATATGTGCTATGGTATTGTGCAATAACGGAATTCTTTCATAAGAACAATACAGAATCTAATTAACCATCAAATTCTTTTATGTTTTTGTTCCGTTTCACGATTTCTGATTCTAGTTTTGACCGCATCTTTACTTATTGGGAATACAAATTAGTTCGGTCCGTTTTCCAAAAGATGGTTCCGGCTGTTGTGAATGGTTCATAGTTACAGCTGATTTTGGCATTTTCAGAGAGGTTAGACATCTGCTAATAATATTCAGTTTATATAGCTTTGAGTTTCATACAAAAACATTGATTTTTACTGTATTTGAAATGTCGAATATTGTGTTAACCAAGCAGCATTTGCGGGAGGTTCTAATTTTCTGCTTTAATTGGAAGAAAAGTGCAGCTGAAGCCCATCGAATGCTTATCGAAGTTTATGGTGACATTGCTCCAACTAATAAATTATGTAGGGAATGGTTTCAAGGATGGAGATTTCAGCGTTGAAGACAAGCCTTGCTCTGAACAGCCAAAAAAATTTGAAGACAAAGAATTATTATAGAAGCATTACTCGAAGAAGATCAGAGTCAAACGCAAGAGGAGCTTGCAGAATCATTGGGAATAACTCAACAAGTCGTTTCTGTACGATTGAGAGGCATGGGAATAAATCAAAAACAAGGAAATTGGGTGCCTTATGAACTGAAACCGAGAGACGTTGAAAGGCGATTTTTCACTTGCGAACAGCTGATTCAAAGACAACAAAGAAAAGGTTTTTTGCATCGGATTGTTACTGGAGATGAGAAGTGGATATTCTACGACAACCCCAAAAAGAAAAAATACTACGTCCGGTCAATCGTTGCCATCGATCTTAATATCAACATTAAAGCCGAACATTCATGGTTCGAAGATCATGCTCTGTATCTGATGGGACCAAAAGGGTGCTGTTTACTATGAGTTGCTGAAACCTGGCGATTCCATTACGGGCGATCGGTATCGGCTACAATTGATTCGTTTGATCCGTGCATTGCGAGAAAAATAGCCGGAATACGAGTAAAGACATGATAAAGTTATTTTTCTTCATGACAACGCTCGGCCTCATGTCGCAAAAGTCGTAAAAAAATATTTGGAAACGCTCAAATGGGATGTTTTACCGCATCCGCTGTATTCTCCGGACATTGCTCCTTCTGATTACTGATTGTTCTGAAGGATGCAGCACGATTTGGCAAGTCACTGGTTCACTTCTCCAAAATTGGATCACCTCCAAAGACGAGTCATTTTTTCGAGATGGAATTCGAAAATTGCCTAAGAGATGGGGAAAAAGTAGTAACCAGCGATGGACAATACTTTAATTAATCTGTTCGTTCATTTTGTTTTGAAATAAATGCATTTTTGAACGCAAAAAAACGGATCGAATTAATTTGTACTCCCAATAAGATAATCTCAAAATTAGGATACATAAATATAGGCCTCATCAATGTACTGAAGTAAAAATATTTGAAAATAAATTACACTGAGAATTTATACTTTAACCATATCGAATTGTCATACTCAAAAAAGAAGCCAATTTTTTATCCATCTATTCTGATAATAGTTAAATTATATTTACGATTTCAGGTAAAAACATTTTTAAACCTACAACAACAGGCAGCAGAAGTAATGGCAGCTGTTGCCATTTGGGAATTGGAATTGAATGATGTTGAGTTGGAGCTTGGAAATGTTAATAAAAACGGAAAGTTATGTATAAAAGAACAGATTAGTCCTTTATACAAGTGAGTAAATTTTTTCTTAATCAATAATCATTTTGTATATAATCATTGCATTAAATACTAAGTAATATTCGAGCCTATAACGGTTGAAGCTAGATCTTTAATGCTTAAATAATTCAAAGTTAATTATATATATATGTGTATATGAATATATACCATATTTATAGCTTCAAATTGCGCGCCAAATTGGTTTTCTAGACTTACAAACGCAATTAAATTACTGAAATAATATCACAAATTAAATTAAATTGACAATCTTGATGTTCAATCTGATATCATATTAGAAGGATGCAATATTTTTCGTAATAATCTTCTAATATGACACCGAATTGAACATCAAAAATATTATTAAAATTTGCTTGTCAATTTAATTTAATTTGTGATATTATTTCAGTAGTTTAATTGCGTTTGTAAGTCCGGAAAATCAATTTGGCGCGCAGTTCGAATACAAATATATATATATAATGATATATATGCATATACATATATAGTACAAGGTTGGCCATATTCGACGGAAAGATCTGGCAACACTGTAACTTTTGACAGAGATGTTAGATCGAGTAACGACGTTTCCCATGATTGAAAAAAAAACATCTTTCCGTCGAACCCTGTATGGCCAACCCTGTATACATATAATTCACATTAATTATTTAAGCATTAAAGATCTAGCTTTGGCCAGACTTGAATATTCTTACTTAGTATTTATTACATTACGGTTTTAATAAAATAATTTATTATTATTCATTGTATGGTATTAAATTAATCAAAGCTAAATAGAATTTGTTGATCTTTTACTGTTTATACAAGGTTCCGGGACAAACGTTTGTTCTTAAAATGTTGTATTCCTGGCTTAATTTTAAGATGATTTTTCTTTACCTAAATTTTATCCGATGCTTAGTTTTTTAATTATAAGAAAGAATATTAATTATAGACTGCATACGAAAGATAGGCAGAGGCGGCGCAACTCATTATTCGACACAAGCGCTCACTGCGATCAATTGCTTACTACGCGTGAAACATGTAACACGATGGTACCCGTATATAGGACTTGGCAAAATATTTATTTTTTTATATTTGTAATACAAAATACAAAATTAAAAAAAAATATATAATAGGAAGTCAGCGCACAAATGTAATTGCACAAATATAATAATTATAGTTTAGTAAATCATATAACATTTGAATCCATTTCGTATGCATTTCGACATATTTTTATTTCATTCTCAACGGCAATAAGTTAATCAAATATAGTGATTCATTTCTTGTGCAAGTGTGCAGCAATTATAATGCAAGCAATTATCAAATCAAAAATATTTTCCAAGTTCAATTGACCGGAATAAAACAAGAAACCCTTATGACTAAAGTTACAAAAAAAAAAAGAAACTATAACACCAAACATTGAAATTTAAAAAGAAAATGTAGATTTATCAAATTGAAGCAACTCGCACGATCGCAAACCGTATATGGCGTATTAGCCATTGATCAATTGGTATCACTGCGGGGTAATCAGTAGAGAGCGCAATGAAAAAAAAACAGATATTCTTGCCCTTTATAACTATTTCTCTGTGTTGGTATAAAAAATGGAATAAAAAATGCAAATCGATTAAAAAAATTTAATAAAATTAAAATATAAACAATAATAAAAAGCTAATCTATTAAAAAAATTTATTTTAATTGAAATAAAATTAAATAATAAAAACACAAAATTAAAAATACTAATCTAGTTAAAGAATTAAACAAAAAAATTAAAAAAAAACATACAATTATTGTAGAAAAAGCTTTAAAAAGTTTAAAATAATGTTATTCATAGCAGAAATATTTTGTATATATTATATTTTATATATATTACGGATAGGCTATAAATATTGAAATATGTTTCCCTGCGACGGTCCCTATGATATAATTTGAATATTTCTGGTGTATGAGTTATTATTAAATACCAAAATTGACACCTTATATAAAGCATTAAAAAAAGCAATGAGTTAAAGACTTTTAAATTAAAAATGAAATACTTTTATATTAACGCTATAATTCTTAGTTGCACATTTTAAAAGAGCAGTCGGGAGACGCCATGACAAATCTACTGTTTTTGAATCACGTATTAGTAGTAGTAGTAGTAGTAATAATGCAGGTGGAACTATGGCAGCTTATGCCTAACGTGAGTTAGATGTCTGAAGTTTCATCGTCACTCACTGTTTATTTTCAAAATAGTGCAATCAAGCCCAGCCCCGCTCCGTGTGCCAGGCCTATGAGGTCACCTATCTTTGCTCCGTCTAGATCCTTGGGTATTAGAAACATGTGGCCTCAGGATCTTGCAAGCAAGCATAGGATAACGACACAAAAGATGCACTGTCCTCGCTTTTCTCTCTACATAGACGGAAATTCCTCTGCTCGACTAGTCCTACTGAATAGATGTGCTCTGAGGAGCAAGTGTCCAATAAGAAGGAGTATGCCCATTCTCAATTTTTCTCTTGCCATTGCTCTTTTGTTCTAGCCGGATTTTTCCATAAATTTCTTGGCTTGCCAGCAGCTCTTTGTTTCTTTCCAGGAGTTTAAGTGCCCCTGCTCCAGCATTTCTTTGATTTTTCTTTTACCTAGCTCGAAGGGAACTTCGACGGTCTATTCAGCCGGATCTATTTCTGTCCCTAGTTTTGCTAGCCCGTCCACCTTCTTGTTGATATTTCTGGTATTTCCTGGTGATCAGGAACCCATATTAGGGTAACTTGATTTGTTTCTCCCAATTTGCCAAAGGCTTGTATGCAGTCTACAGACGATTCTGTAGATTCTTAGCAGTAGCTATATGTATAGTATCTATGTATATACTAAGCCATGGCAAGCCGCGGGATGAGGGGCCGGAGGGAAAACTGGGCGAGAGGGGTATTGTGGTGCGGGGGGGCAGTCAATGAGCGAGCTGCTTTGTCCTCCCACCACCTCTCGTAGTTTTCCTCCCCGGCCCCCGTCCCCACGAGCGCATGTGTGTGTGAGCTGGTGACGTCACGGCGTGACGCGTCGCGACGACGACG